AGTAGATTGTAAATATGCTATTAATTAAATAAAGAACTTTAATCGCGATAGCCATTATTCAGCAAGAAAAATGTATATACATACATTCATATTGCATAAAAATTAATATTTTAATAGGAAGAAAAAATCATTATAAAAATTGATTAAGAAAAACAATTTTGGCTCCAAATACACCAACGTCCCTGCAAACAACATAACAATGAGTCATAAAACAGATCAGTATACATGTCACGTGGAAGTTTACGAAGATGTGGATGTCCTGACATGTGAAGGGTTTGGTGCTGTAACCAGTACAGAGTCATGAGCTAAAGCATGGAAATCTTTGTTTCAGGAGACGTACCCCACTATGGCAGTATCGCTTCGGGTCCCAGCTACAGCGGATTCTTCTAGACACGCCACCTCATCACACACCTCTCCACGCTCATCAACATTTCCACAATTCCAACCACTGTCTCTTATTTATATTTAAAATAAAAATATCAACTTGTCAAATTAGACATTTCTTACTCTGATAACAGTTTTCTCGCATGTCCAGTTCTTTCTGTGAGCACGTCACGCACATCAGAGCGCATTGATACGTAAGAGGGAAGGCAAGAAGCAAAGTAGAGAACTCTTAAATAAGCTGGCGTGAATGCTGGCTTCTGAAAAGGAACATATGTCCACTAGCCAAGTGTATCTGACACGTCAGCGGTAAGGGAGGGGGGACTGCTACTTCCTAATCCGTTTTCTCCATATTTCTCCTCTCCCTTTTCATTTCATTACGTTTCGTGTTTTTCTCGCTCTTACTCCCTTTACACCTTTCTTTTCAAAAGTTTCTATTTGCTAAATCGATTAGCTTCATTGCTTTGAAGAGAAGTTGGTTGAAAACGCTTAAGAAGCTGTCAAGTGGGTCCCTTTGCGGCTTGCGAGAGAAATGACATTTCCGCAGAGTGCAAGAATGTCATATCGTTGCTACACACTGCTGTCTGTGCTGTTGAATGTGTTGCTTTGCAACATTACAAATTGGAAATCATCTTACCTTAAAAGAAGAACCAAGTTTAGCGACATTTGAACTGAGAATTTTACTATTTACTTGGCCGGTCACAGCGGTCGCCCGTTCGAAGGCTGGGATCGTGGGTTCGAATTCCACTTAAGGAATGGATGTTTGTGTGCGTTTTTATTCTATGTTTGTGTTGTTACATGTGTAGGTAGCGACGTTGCGACTGGCTGATCCAACGCCCAAGGAGTCCTATTGACTGTCCACAAAGGCTGTAGAGCCACACATATACAACTGATTGGTCTTGATGTTCTGCTAGTGCACATTGAAGTTTATTGTGGCTAATTCCACTGCAGAGAGGCAGGAACACAAAATGCTTCAGACAAATTCTGTACGTCTTAATTACATATACGGATGCTTTGTCATGTACATATTTGTGTACGAATAATTGTTTAAGGAACTCGCAAAGCTTTGTTTTGGGTTAATGTTTAACTGACAAAAATTAATTGGCCCAACAACTTTGCAATTTATACCCGCTCTCCAGAAGCAGCCGGGACAGCGACTGGCTACGGGCTGGACGACCGAGAGGTCGGAGTTCGAGTCCTGGTAGAGCAAAAATATTTCACTTCTCCATATCGTCTCTGCGGCCCACCCATACTTCTATATAATGGGTACCGGGGGCTATTTCCCCGGAGGTAAAGCAGCCAGAGAATGAAGCTGACCACTCACCTCCAGCTATAGCCGGGGTCAAGAAATACGGATCTATACATCAACTCCCACATGCGTCTTCAAGGCGTAGTGCTTAATTAAAAAGCACAGGGACAACTTTACTTTTTTACCCGTTCTCCACATTCTAAATTTTATACATAAACTCTGTATTAGATACTTCCCCGCATAACAAAGACTGGAACGTAACTACAGGATCGACTGGTTTGTGGACAGTCTGCAGCACCTGTTGGGTTCTGTCACGGATTCCCAGCCCATCTTCAATATTCATAACCGGTGTACTCATGAGGAGCTCGAGTCTGGTCCGGCAAATTAGGTGACGATTAGGAAAAATGAGCCCAAAAGATTCTGTGCTCTTGCATACATCCAACCCCAAACCGGAATTCAGTTAGGAGGGAAGTATTGTACAATATTCTGATACAGTTTGGGATACTCATGACACTAGTTAGGTTGATTAAAATGTGTTTAAACGAAACTTATAGTAAAGTCTGTGTAGGTAAACATTTGTCTGATAAATTTCCTATCCAGAAAGGTCCAAAACAAGGAGATGCTTTATCACCACTCCTTTTCAACTTTGCTTTAGAATATGCAATTGGGAAGGTGCAGGAAAACCAGATGGGACTGAAATTAAATGGGACACATCAGCTGTTGGCCTATGCCGATGATGTGAATCTACTGGGTGATAATGTAGATACCATAAAGAAAAACACACAAACTTTAATTGACGCAAGTAAAGAGGTTGGTCTAGAAGTAAACACAGAGAAAACTAAGTATATGTTACTGTCTCNTGTGAAACTTGGTCTCTGACGTTAAAGGAGGAACATAGACCGAGGGCGTTTGAGAACAGGGTGCTGAGGAGAAGATTTTGAACGAAGAGAGATGAAGTGACAGGAGATTAGAGAAAACTGCATAATGAGGAGCTTCATAACTTGTGCTCTTCTCCAAGTATAATTAGAATGATGAAGTCAAGGAGGATGAGGTGGGCAGGGCATGTAGCACGAATGGGGGAGAAGAGGAATGCATATAGGATATTTGTGGGAAAGCTAAAGGAAAGAGACCACTGGGAAGACCAAGGAGTAGTTGGGTGGACAATATTAAAGTGGATCTCAAAGAGATAGTATGGACTGGTATGGACTGGACTGACCTGGCTCAGGATGGGGACCAGTGGAGGGCTCTTGTGAACACGGTAATGAACCTTCGGGTACCATAAAACGCTGGGAATTTCTTGAATAGCTGGACAACTGGCGGCTTCCCAAGAAGAGCTCAGCTCCATGAGAGAGTGAGTGAGTGAGTTATGAAACGTTCCACAGGTCCTCAGACTTGGATGGACTCTATGGATAAACAACCTAATATAAGGGAAATAGTGCTTCTTAGAGCAACAGGATGGGGTGGTATTGTATGGAATGGATTCATCTAGCTCAGGATAGGGATCAGTGGAGGGCTCTTGTGAACACGGCAATGAACCTTCGGGTTTCCATAAAATGCTGGGAATTTCTTGAATAGCTGCACGACTGGCGGCTTCCCAAAAAGGGCTCAGCTCCGTGAGTGAGGCATAATTACATTATATCAATGCATAGCTCGAATTATTGACTTCGTTGGACCTTTTCCTTTTGAAAATTTATGCATAAATGAAGTCTTTCAGTCTCTGAATGCCTGAGTTCTGAACAAACAAAAGCCTTCACAATAAGAATAGATTGTTTAAGAGACTGCGCCATTCTATCTAACATTAAAAGTCATCAATTTTATTTTAAAAAACAAGCTTTTGGTTTTTACGTTACCACTGACCTACCACTTATATTTACAAGTGGTGATAGCGAAAGAAATCCGTCACCAGAAAATTGAAATACAATCTTCATTAACAGCAAAAAGAACATGCCACATGATTTCTGATACTAATATGTACAGTATGTAGGTTCCCCCGTACATCAGTTATCGTGTACCAGTCTCTGTGTAGAAACAGGAGTAGCCCCAACCAAGGAATGGACACGGAAACTGTAGGCCCATGGCGCTGTCAGATGACGACACAGCTGCTACCTTGAAATCGCCGGAGGAGATTACCGCTTTATTAGAGACAGCACACGACAATCTGATTGTGTCTTGTGCCTGTGTTACCTTGACATACAGACACAAAAGTCAGGACTGTTCAAGATCTGCACAGTCAGCTTCGTTAGGGCTACAACCACTTCACTCTTAGCTGTGGGAAGGCTCTGAAATTCACTAAACTTCTTCAGATGTAACGTGACAGCAATGCGGGCAACCCAGTGACTAAATGCTGATCATCAATCAATATAACAACCGTGGCAATTCGAGTGGTACACAAGTGATGAGGAGATTCAGTGGTGAAATTGCTGTCCTCTCAAATTGTTGAGTCTCCAGAATTTTATTTCGCCTTCAGCTATGCACAGGGCTGTTGTCGTGACGGGAGGGGCTGGAGCGTCACACTCCAGCGTCCGTGGAAATTACATGAAATATGAAGCTTTTACACAATGCTTAATTTCCTACCATCCCGGTGGAAGACTCACTTTCTTTAAACATGTGCATTTCCTGAGCTGTTTTTCATTCATTTCCAATTATAATGAGAATGGCTTTTGTAATAATTTATATTCAATTAATTCAGTCTAGAACTGCGTGTCTGATAGCCCTGAAACTTTATTTTCCAGGATAAGCAGCTGAACAGGAACCGGGGTAGGGCAGTCGGTATACTGACTGGCTACGGGCTGGACGACAGAGAGGTCGGAGTTTGAGCCCTGGTAGGGTCAAGAATTTTCACTTCTCCATGTCGTCCAGACCGGCTCTGGGGCCCACCCAATCTCCCTTGCAGTGTGTACAGGGGGTAAAGCGGTCGGGGCGTGAAGCTGACCATTCGCCTCCAATTAGTGCAGAGGTCAAGAAAACTTCTACCTATACATCCACCCCCCGTACGTCTTCATGGCGTAGTGTTTAATTAGCTAAGCACAGGTACCTTAGCTTTTACACAGCTGAATACACGTACGTGCCTTGTGTCTGTTTTGCAGCCCCGTTACCTCCATGAACAGAACATCTTAATTATTTAATATGTTATACTCTCGATAAGCACAATAGTAACACATGTAGAGTCAAACGCCAATCGATGTTACAACTACCTGACAATTAACTTTGAAACTAATTTTTTTAGATCGAAATTGACTCAAGTTCTTGATTCCATTTCGTGCACAAATTTGAAGAAATAAGTTAAATTTTCAGGCACTTATATAGCTGTAATCGCTCATAGACGGATATTAATGAATGACAAGAGAACAATAATCACAAACAAATGAATATAAGAAGGAAAATAAGTGATAATTACACTTAGTTTTAGGTAAACTCTTTTGCGCAGTATAATCGTAAGATTGTGCCTGATGTGATAATAGGACCAGGCTGAAGGGGCCCATACACCAGTGGCGTGCGGTACTATTTTTGGTTAGGGAAGCAGTGGTATCTAATAAACGAACTGATAGCAATCAACTCACCAAAATTTACGTCACTTATCGAGTCAATAAGGTCGTTTTGTATTCTGTCGGATAAACCTGTAAATACTGTACTGTTCTCTAGGTGAACATTGAGTTTATGATCATATTTCTTCAAGAAGTGAACTAATTACACATAATTTCCTCGGTCGATAGAATCCACACTTTCGTCATGACCACGGAGGGCAAGTTGCCACTTTGCTAAATGGCAGATGATATCAATCAAGCGTTTCATTATTTCTCTATGTAGTATCGTCAGGCGCTTTTGATTGTCAGGTTGACAGTAAATTCGAGATTTCCCGAACATAAC